ACGGGGTGGGAACGCCAGGAAGGCCGGGAAATGGGGTGGGAATACCGGGAAACCAAGAGGGAGCGCCAGGAGTGGCGGGAGATGGGGTGGGAATGCTAGGAATACTGGGAATGGGGTGGGAATTCCGGGAATGGGGAGATGGGGAGGGATCAATGGGAATGGGGTGGGAATACCAGGAAATGGGGTGGGAACCCCGGGAATGGGGTGGGAATACCGGGAATGGGGTGGGAACGCCGGGAATGGGGTGGGAATACCGGGAATGGGGTGGGAATACCGGGAATGGGGTGGGAACGCCGGGAGATGGCGTGGGAATACCGGGAGTATCAGGAAGCGGGGAGGGAGCGCCGGGAATGCCAGGAATGCCGGGAGACGGGGTGGGAATACCGGGAATGGGGTGGGAATGCCGGGAATACCGGGGAATGGGGTGGGAATACCGGGAATGGGGTGGGAACGCTGGGAGACGGGGTGGGAATGCCGGGAATACCGGGAGATGGGGAGGGATCAATGGGAATGGGGTGGGAACCCCGGGAAACGGGGCAGGAATTCCGCTGGGAGCGGGGTGGAATTCCCGGGGTTTGGGACCTGTCAAAGTCCCATAAAAACACTGAGGGTCGATCAAAGGTTAATTAAGGGTCTATCACAGGTTAATTAAGGGTCGATCAAAGGTTACTTAAGGGTTGATCAAAGGTTAATTAAGGGTCGATCAAAGGTTAATTAAGGGTCAATCAAAGGTTAATTAAGGGTCTATCACAGGTTAATTAAGGGTCGATCAAAGGTTAACTAAGGGTCGATCAAAGGTTACTTAAGGGTTGATCAAAGGTTAATTAAGGGCCGATCAAAGGTTATTTAAGGGTCGATCAAAGGTTAATTAAGGGTCAATTAAAGGGGTCAGTCAAGGGTGGGAAAAGGGGCGGGGCCAAAAGCCAATTGCCGCCATCGACATGCAAATGAGCTCTAATTAACCCCCCTCTCCTTTCCCTTGCAGACGAATACGTCTCCTCGTCCTCGTCGTCCTCGTCCCGCTCCCACGCCCTCCCCCCTTCCTCCTCCTCCTCCTCCTCCTCCTCCTCGCTGCCCCTCCCCCAGCCCTCCCCCGCCCCTCCCCCGCCCGCCCCTCCCCCCCCGGCGCCCCCCAAGCTGCTGATCAAGCACGGGGGGGGCTCGCCCAGCGTCACCTGGCTGGGGGACCCCCGGGGGGGAGGGGACCCCCGGGGGGGAGGGGAGCCCCGGGGCGGGGGAGGGGAGCCCGAGGAGGCGCTGCCGTCGCGCAGCCGCCCGCCCATGAAGACGTACGAGGCGCGCAGCCGCATCGGCCTCAAGCTCAAGATCAAGCAGGAGGCCGGGCTCAGCAAGGTGATCCACAACACGGCGCTGGACCCGCCGGGGATCCCGCCCGGGAGCGCCGGGGGCGCCGGGAGCACCGGCGCGGCGGCGCCGGCGGCGCAGCTCAACGGATCCCTGGAGAAGAAAGCGCCGGCGGCGCCGCTGCCCAAGGCCGGCGGCACCGCGCCGTGCCGGCTGCCGCTGAGGAAGAGCTACCGGGAGATCGG